GTGTGTGTGTGTGTGTGTGTGTGTGTGTGTGTGTGTGTAAGGCCAGACGTATTAGCATGAAATCATAATGTTAAACCCAAGTACATGAAAATAAACACGAAGGATGAACATGRAGGTAGCACTGACCTAAACYAATTAAAAGCCTAACATTCCCTGAGGGAATGCATATCACCCGCCGCATTTTGTGCCAGAATTTTAGACTGAGATAATCTTATGTTGGGAAATGACGACTGAAACTTTATAAAATACAAACTAGGGCTGTGAATGACTCAGACACTGCCTCACCAAATTCTGGCTCAATTTCAATGAAACTGAGTTGTAGCCATTTTTGTGTTGGCTAAGTTTGGTTAGCTGTGGCAGCCATCTTGAATCGAACAGACTACACAGGTTAATGAGTTGCAGACATGCAGTATCTCAAATGAATATTTCTAAGAGCTTTTTTAAAGTCTGTCCAGTGTTTCATTTGATTTTTTTGCTAACAGACAGACAGTGTTGATTGCAAGAGTTATTGCCAAAAATYAACACAAGCTGTTGTGTGATCAGTTAGTGCTCGGTTAGGGATGACTCTCAGCTACCACTACACCACATTTTAGCTCAATCTCTATAAAGTTAATTGAGAAACAGCTTTTTTTACTCTTGCCATGTTTATTTATCTGTAGTAGCAATCTTGAATTGGGTTCAGTTGTAGATGGACACCCATTACCTTCTATGAGTTTCATTAATATCTGCAGTGGTTCAAGAGATATTTTTGCTACCCCCCGCCCCCCMCACACACACACAATAATTGGAAAAAGCAGAGAAGAAGCACAGTTAGCCATTCAGCAGTGGGGGATAAAATGACTTTCTTTGATGTTAGATATCACACACTGCTTCCATTTCAATTTTAAACTCAGCAATAAAAGTGTGAGATGAGCTGCAGCAGCTGAAAAAGGCAGATGTTTGTGTCTTACAGTCTATATGACAGACTTACGTGTCAATGACAGACAGAAAGTCTCATCACTGATTCTCACAGCWATAGAAGTATGAAGTGCAATCAGACTGAATCATTTGCCTTATCGGTCCAATTGACCTTTGACCTYAGACTGTCTCACACTCAGCTTGTCTTTGAGCGTCTTTGAGCACTAMGCAGCTCAGACACTTGATCGCGTCCATTTTAACTCCTCTCAGTCAATCTGTTAATTGAGATAGATGGGAATGTGAGAGCTATTAGATTTTTTTTCTTTTTTTTAAGTAATAGCAGTGAGCAAATGAAATGAGCCTAATTCCATGCTTCACTGAGCGCCTGTGGGTTGGATGGTTTACCCTACAGCAGCGCTGCGGTCATCACACATTYAGAACAGCCAGAAAACTCCTCCTTTCGTTTTTTTCAAAAGTGGAGAATGGTGTTGAGTTTAAAGCAAAGGAACAGAGTAGCAACATCAGAACATGTTGGGTTATATTGAATTGGCTGTTGTTCTGTTTCAAGGACTTCAAAAATACTTTCAATGAAACTTTCAGGGAAAAAAAATCATTGCATGTAACTTTTCAACTGATTAAACTTTGAGTCAGCCTGATTCAAGATGACCACCAGAGCTAATCAACATTAGCAAGGGCATAAAGGACTGGAACACAGTCCATCCATCCATCCATTTTCTGTACACGCTTCTTCCTTTTCAGGGTCACGTGGGTCACTGGTGCCCATTTCCAGCAGTCACAGTGCGAGGGGCAGGGTACACCCTGGACAGGTCGCAAGTCCATCACAGGGCCACATGTTTACATTTAAAGAGCTAAAAGTCTGTTTGGTCAAAGGTGTGTCATTCACAACACACTGCAGGTCTTAAAGCTCAATTCTGATTTTTTGAAAAAATCCAATCTTTTTGTGTGAACGTTCACATTACATTTTAAATGTGACCTGCTTCAGACTCCTGTGTGAACGCTACACAGCGCTGATGTGACACGCATGCGCGGTAAAGACGTGACCTCTCATTCAGCTGGCTTGTTTGTTTACAGAGTTAGCATGGATGCTACTTTTAGCGCATTGAATCTGAAGTTGTTGTTCAGTCAGAGCCGATTAAATAATTGCGACAAATCTGACATGCTTCTTTAGTTCAGTGTTTATACCTGAACCTGCCTCTGACCGGKATGYTCCRGTGAAGCATTTTATTTTGGAACGAAGCAACRAGCTGGAAATAAAGTATCGACYAGGGCTGCAGCTAACGATTATTTTAGAAATCGATTAATCTATCGATTATTCTGACGATTTATCGAGTAATCGGATATAAAAAATGTCATGTTCTGCAGTAATTAATTAAGCTTCTTTTATGAGAAATACAATTATTCAATATTGTGAAGGGGTAATCTACACTTGCTGATGACCCTGCTGCAATCAAAGTAAAATTACAGTACCAGTTGTATTAATTCATGCATTTTAAGTTCCACTTGTTTGTATTTATGTATGTGAGATTTGAGGAGGCATTAATTAAAAGCACTCTGTCATTGAATCATTTTTAACATCACAGAAATATCTAATTGTTTAAATTTATTGTTCTAGAC